AATACACTTGTTTAGACAATTTAAGTGATTTTTTTTATCACAACACCAAGATCTTTTTTCTTCAACCACAGTATTTAATGTATTCTTATTTAAGTTGTAACAATAATTTGAATTGTGAAAACCTACATGCATCATCTTACATTTTGGATAGTTAAACATCATCTGTCACGTATTGATACAGTTAGCCACCCCAAAAATCTTTGTCATCTGTAAACTTCAAAATTTTGTTAGTCACTCCAGAGTCAGTATCATTAATATAAATCACAAACAGCAGAGGACACAGCACAGAGCCCTGAGGCACACTGCTTGTAACTGTAATCCAGTCAGATCTAACTCCATTTATTACTACTCTCTGCTTTCTACTCTGGAGCCAATTTTCTATCCAGTTTAATAACATTTCCCCACACCCACAGACTTAATTTTTGTAACAAGTCTTTTGTGATGCACCTTATCAAATAATTTCTGAAAATCAAGGTAAACCAAATCCACAGTATTTCCTTCATCAATTCTTGCAGTAACACCCTTAAAGAATGTCAGAAGATTTGTTAAACAAGACTTTCCCTTAGTGAATCCATGCTGGCTCTTTGACACTATATCAAACTATTTTAAGTGACTCTGCAATGCATCTTTAATCACACTCTCCAAAAACTTTCCAGCTACTGATTTAAGACTAACTGGCTTATAATTGCCAGGATAATGTTTACCACCTCCTTTAAATGTTGGACTAACATTAACCAACTTCCAATATTCTAATACTCTTCCATGACTCAATGACCTATAAAAAAATATTAAGGGCTCAGTAAATGAAGACTTAGCTTGCTTCTTTAAGATGTTTTTTCAAGTAGCCACATGGAATTCCTGGACCTAGGAATAAATGATGAAGCATCTTCTGTGTTACATTGATAGTCTGATGCTACAGAGTATCTGGAGCTTGATCAACTCTGAAGCTTGGAAGCTATTGTTGCACAGTTGCATCAATGATTTGACCCGGTAGAAAATTGAATTATCTATTGGGCAGAATTCTAGGCTTTTTAACAAAACTTAGCCATGGATGCAGATGAGCTGTGATGTTTATAAGGCAAAGCATACTCCAGCATGGCAGCATCCAACCAGAAAATATCTTGATCAACAAGTTTGTAGAGGGACATCACTTGAGTGTTATATTGTGTCTCTAACCATAGCTGTTTTTATAGCATCAAGGTACAAAATCATAACTTTGAATAAGTTGTTAAAGTGAAAGGAACCTCCAGTAATAACTGCCATGGCTCCTCTGGAGTTCACCATGAAAAAAACTACTTGTGCATTAAACAGAATAGTTCCAGCATCATTTATATACACTCATGCAGTCCATGGTTTTTATGCATATTTTGGTTAACATTTTATGGTTTCTCCATAGAAGTGCAGCTCAACTGGGACACAGACTATACTAGCAGATAACACCTGTAGGACATTTAACCCTAAAATGCAGATACTTGAGCCGAGACCTACCACTTCAAGTCTCACATGTTTAGCGATGATAAAAACAGTGATGCATCATTGATATTTTCCATTAGTGCTAGGCAATTACTGTTTGTGAGGACAAATCCTGTAATTACTAGCTAGAGTGGTGGTTTACATAATAGTAACTGATACACCACAAGATCAAGTAGTTTAGCAGAACCTCTATCTTGCATCTGTGTAATTTTACAAGAACAAATAAAGTCAAATTCAGCCCTGCAAATATTGTACTAACTAACACACCTGAAGAAACAGACAGATAGGTGTTTTCTCTCAAATCATTAGTGAGACCTGACAGTGTTTATAGTGCATCTTCTCCCTTGAGCCCATTGTTGATTATTTGGACTATTCTGAAGAAACTGGTCTCCTGTGCAGACACAGGAAGGGGAAACCTAAACCTCTGGAAGTACTACACTCAAATGTGTCAATCCCATATAATGAGAACCTGAAACAGATGACACCATGATTGCAGATGACATACAGCAATCTGGTTCAGCATGCATGGCTACCAACTGAGCAGTAAAGGTATCACAAACCTGCCTTGAAAGCTGTGCTAATTATATGAATGAAGAACATTTCTGGTGTAGGTTTCCCCTTCCTATGTCCTACTTGATTTAGTTAGTGATTCTTTTTTTATTTTGTTGTATTGTTCTTTTTTGCATGATCAACAGTTAAGTGTTTTCCCAACTTTTGTATGCTTTTTTATTTTATGTTCCCTACTTTTTCTTGATCTCAGCCCTATTTGTTACCATGTTGTGTGTCTTGTGCCATCCTGTGTTGTTCCTATTCAGTCTAACCATAATTTTCATGCAATTTCAGCAATTCACAGAATAACTTTATAATTGGAGTTAAAACTAAACTAAAAGTCACCTTGAGGACTAACACATGAACCCAACATGTCATGTGCTTACATCATACAACTAATATAAAGCAGTTAAAACTGATCAGAAGGACTTGACTTTTTACAGTTGAACATACTAGAATTTCATCAGTAAACAAAGAAGAGGCTGTTGAAATTTACATTTAGACTAGTTTTACTGAAAATCATTTTTGTTTTGTATCTTATCTGTTTCTCCCTACTATATGTTTTCATGGGAGTATTTTTTAGAGCTAAAAGTCCATTTTAAAATTTTATTGGTAATTATTTGGTTAACTCACTGTAGTAACCTCAAGCTTAGTATTTTGTCACTGTTTATGTTGTTCTTCACTGACTGTGTAAAAAATTGAAATGAATAATCCAGTCTTGCATATTTAATATTTCATTGTGGTTACACATACATCCAGCTGTTTAGCAACTGTAACTGTCCGTTGGCTTCACTCTTCCTTTACAGCTCATGGTTGGATCTAGATGAACAGAATAAGAAGGAAGACTGTGTTCCTGAAATCATCAATCCTACACAAACACATTGACCCAACTATCCATGAACATCTAGAATTGTGCCAACATGAACATCAAAATGGTTCAACATGTAAATGATGTCATCAAACTCGTGTATGGAGCATCCAAAACAAAAAGAGGTTACATCAGTGATAACGAGCAGCTTGTATCAGCAGTAAACAAGTTGCCTAAAGAAAAAAAAGGGTTGGGTTTTTAAACATATAACAATAAATTTAGTACATGATATAACTTTTGTTTTTGCATATATTTAGTAATAAAGAAAGAAAAATGGCTTATCTTCCTAAACTTGAAAATATCCCAATATGTTCTCTTCTCGATATAAATATATTCTTTAAGAAACAAAGCTGCATGAGTTCTATTAGAAATTAAGTATTAGCATTCTGTTGCTTGACCTTTGAAAATAATTGAATCTGGTAGTACTGAATGTCCTGAAAGAGTTTATCTATTATGCATTTTATTTCTGGTCCAAAAAGGGCTTTCATTTTTAAAACTTATCATTTTTGGTAGAATGTAGAAATGTGTGGAAAATATTTGTATTTTGTTGAGTTTTTTTTCTAGCATTGCAACCAAATTTTTTGTTATTTGTCATGATTATTTAAGCAGTGTCCTCAGAAATTGCATAAACTCTATACATGATAAATTATTGATGATGTATTTTCAGAGAGAGAAAAATATTAGAGATATATGGGCTATTGACATCAATTGTATTTTTACAAGTGTTTATCACACTTTATCAGATTAATTCTGTCTTGTTATATCTACAAAATATCTTGTATCATTTATTTGTCTTTCTGAATTCTGTGCATTTAAGTTTAACTTATTAAGTGCATTGATTGGATTTAAATGAAATTTGAATATAGTAAAGCATCTTTGTTAAATTCATTAAAAAGTTGTGATGACAGCTGTTTTGAAAAACTTGAGACTTTATAGTATTGATAATCCAACTTACGTTATTGTTCATTGAATGTTTATTTGTCTAAATTAATACATTAATGGTTATGTTTTGGAGTGAAGTCATATTTATCAACTGCAAACTCATTCTTGAACTACAAAAAGTTGATATTCTTCCAGGACTTTGCTTTTAATTTCTGTTCTAGTCCGTCATGTTTATCAAAATACATTTATATGTATTATGTCTAACATCAATAAGAATTTACTTTGAATATATAAATAACTACAAATTTTACATTTATATACTTTGTTGAGTTATTTAATCATTCCCTGTGTGTGTGAACAAAACATGTTGCTCTGAAGTAAGAGGTGTTCCCTGGGTCAGTGATAAATTTATGGACTTGCATCTCAAGAACCTGGGGTTCAATTCCTTGTAGTGGAAAGAGTGAAAAAAACTAATTGTGTGTCTCTGCACTAAGAAAACAACAGCTGAAGAAAGAATATCATAGAAGAAGGTTTAACTAATAAATTTCTAAAACACTGGGAATTGATCCATATAGGTAAAATTTCTTACCTTATTTTGTGATTAATTTTTTTCAGTTCCTAAGATTTGTTTTTATGCAGCTGTTATAAGCCATGTAGGACTCAGAAGGCAACTATGTTGTTCTACTGGGTATTTATGGTTGGTCATATACAGTTAAGTAAGAATGAATGAGATAGTGCAAACATATGTAAAGTTTAACAACATGTTCACGGACCAAAGTTGATAACTTTGAACAGTAGACTGTAAGATATACCAAGGCTCTTTCTGCCTTCTGATATTAAGGATCGTTGTAATTATCATAACTGTGTAAGGTTTCATTCATTTTGTATTAATGTGTTTTATGAATAGAAAAGTAGGTCTAGTTTTGTCAGTTTTTACCTTCTTTTTGTTAAATGAACTGTCAATGTTTATCATCACTGTGCTTCAGTATTAATGTGAAATGACCAAAATTGTTCTTTGGTAATATATTATGTAAAGAAAAAGTATATATTGTGTGTGAAATTGTATGTTTGTTGTTGGAGGTATTATATTTTTTATGGACCAAAATGAAAGATCAAATCTTACAATTGAACGATGAAGCAAACCATCACTTATAAAGTACAAAAAGGTCTGGTCTATTCAGTATTTTAATCACAGTTTGGCCTTTTTTACCAACATTAAACATAGGAATGTTATCTGTTATGTATATTATCTACACAAACTGCTGAATCACTTCATCACACTATTTTACCAACGTTTATGATTATATTTGAAGTGAATAAATGGCAGTATTTTTTTAGAAAATTCATCGTTAAAGTTTTGAGATTTTTATATAGTGAACTATTCATTATTTTCATGACTCATGTGACACCTGAAAAGTTCGTTTTAGGGGAAGTTGCAGGTCACATCCTGCATTCTCTTTCTGTTATATTATTATTAGCACCATTGAAATATATTGAAGTAATAATCCACAAATATTGGATTTATTTGTATTATGAACTGTGTACAAATAATTTATTGAGGAGTTTTTCAAGAAGTTATAATGACTATAATTTGTTTTTGTGTAACTTTGATTTGATAGATTTTTAGATTATATATTTTAATGTCCCATGTTTTTGTATGTTTAAAATTTGAGCAAGTGTTATTGTACTATTTGTCAGAAGAATTTACATTGTACATTATTGTATGTGGAAATAAAAACATTCATATATCTGGATCTCCATATTGCTTTGTTCCATAATATGTTCACACAGATGGAAAGAAAGCATTTAACAGATGATTGAATTACTAAATAGCACTGAACTGTAATACATCAGACTACTATATATAGATTAGTTACCAAAGAACTGTACGGATGGAGGACAAATAGTATTACTGGTACATTTTTTACAAAAGAAACTGGAACTTCTTCTAGGGTGAGTAATGTTATATCTTAGCCACAATCCTTTGCATACCTTCCATACATGCTTGGTTGAAAAAACCAAGTAATTACTGTCCACAAATGAGTATTCATGACCTATGGTAGAAGTACAGCATCTTCTTCCAGTTCCATTGATTTTCCATATAATGGCCTTGTCTGGAGTATTGCTCTGCTGTGCAACATCTACTGCAAGAGGCTTTTGCTCAATACACTAAGGCCAATGTTGTCTTTGTCCTCTTTACATGCTTTCCTCAGTCTATCAGCTGTACATGAGTGGCAATTTCCAAAGGCCCATATGAGCAACTCAAAAGCAAAGAAGTCCATGTCCGATGCCTGCAAATGATGTAACTTGAATTCTCATTTGTACTTTCATCTTCAGAACGGAACTGGTATATTAACTTGGGCATGTGACAGGATGCCTCATCTTCATGGATCCATACTAATTTTCAGTCCAGACAGAGATGAAGTTATTTCTAATTGATTAACCACAGAGTAGAGAATTAGGCCTGCTAACAACAGATACTCTTGGATATTGGGCTTTAGGGTATGTTTCCCTTTATATATTGCAGCTGTGAAGACTGTGAGGTAAAAAATCCAAATGTAAGTCACAAATGCTTAATAACACTTAAAAGTTACAAAGTAAAACAATATATTATACTACAGTAAACAGTACAATAATACACTAAGGCAAGTGATCTATGAGTGTGTGTGTGTGGAACTGGTAATAGCAAATGAGGTATTTATTTAATGAGCTTGTATTAATTAAGTGTCCCCCCCCCATAACATGTAAGTTAAACTAAGAATAAAAGTAAACCTCTAAGTTAGGTTTAAATGCAAACTGAAAATAAAACTACTAAAGTTGCTTTAAAAGTAAAACCCCAAGTTAAAACAAGGGTGTCTATCCCCCTCATGGCATGGATGCAGCCCCCTTCCAACACAGTGTTAGATATACATGACTGTGCATTTTAAGTTTAATATGAGAGTATTATTTAGTTTATATAGTGCAAACAATAAAGTACATTATTTTTAGAAGCGATAGTTATGACAAGTTTTCGTATCCAACTGTTTACAAATCATTTGTTGGTGTACTTTGGTGACAGATTTTCTTGTAGGCAGATTCTGTTAAACAAGACCGAT